GGCAAACATCCTCTGAAGAAATCTTGCCAAGAAAACCCATGACAGGTTGCCTTAGGGTCGCCATAAGTCAGAAATGACTTGAAAGCAAACACACATGCACGCACACACTTCTCAATGAGGCTGAGAGAGAGAGAGTGACTTGGCCATGGTCAGCCAGTGGATTTTCATGGCCAAATAGAAATTCATACCCTGCTTTCACAGTGTTCTAGTCCAGCACTTATAGAACCATAAAGTTGGTCATCTCCAGCTGGTTCTACTTACTGGGGCCAAATTGAAAAAAATCTGGAAGATCACAGCTTCCACATCCTTGGTGGAAATCAGGGCCGAGCAGCTCCAGATATTTTTTGGACTGTAATTCTCATCAGCCTGAGCTAGCATAGCCCATGATGAGGAATATGGGAGCTTTAGTCCAACATCAGGAGGGCAACAGAATACTTGCCTCTAGTTTAAAGGAACCAGGCATTTCACAAACTGTATGAATTTATTGGTTTAGTAGTCTATGGTTGAGAGGAGCTGAGATTTGGAATGGCCCAGGGTCATCTGAGAAAAAAGGGGAAAGTAAAATGGAGGATGACAGTGGAGAAAAGAAAAGGGCCATAACAACTTTACTGTGGATACAGGGTATGTAGAGAGATCTTGTAGCACCTTTGAGACTAACTGAAAGAAAGAAGTTGGCAACATGAGGTTTCCTAGATTAAAGTTTACTTCCCCAGATGCATTTGGATGTAATAATAATAATAACAACAATAATAACTATAGAGATCTTGTAGCACCTTTGAGACTAACTGACAGAAAGAAATTGGCAGCAAGAGCTTTTGTAGACTTCAGTCTACTTCCTCAGATGTGGATACTGGAGTTGGAGAGTGTGTGTGCTCTATGGGAATGTTTCAGGAAGAAAGAATGAACAAAGGGCAGCTTTTCTCTGCCTTTCCAGCATCACCACTGACTGCGTTACATCATCATCATCATTGTTGTTGTTGTTGTTGTTCTTGTTGTTATTGTATCCCACCCCTCTGACAAGCAATCGGGGCAGCTAACAGTTAAAATTCCATACCATGCATTAATACAAACCAAAAGCCCAGAACCCACCCACCCTTTAAAAAAGTATTAAACCAATGTAACAATTAAAACATCTTAATTAATTAATTAAAACATCACTAAATAAGCTCGAATCACAAAACAAGCAATAACAGAGAAATAATAGCAGACAGAGCAATAACAGACAAAGCAGAGACAGCAGCCAAAAGTGGGAGAGTGGGAGAGGGCGAAATGGGGGGGGGACTCCTTAGGCCGGGAAATCTAGTCAGGGAAGGCGTGCCGGAAGAGATCCATCTTAACAGCCTTTTTAAAGCTGCTAAGGTTGTAATCTGATGGATCTCATCTGCCAGGCCATTCCATAGTCCGTTCCATACATGCAATAAAATGCTCAGGTTTGGGTTTGCCAACCACCTCCCCAAACACAATCTCCTTGTGTGTTAAATATAGCAAAATTCAAAATACACATTCCAGTGATAGCTTTATTAGGCCAATCAAATAATGCAAAATAAATCAGGCAAACCTTTGAAGCTCACAGGCCTCTTCATCAAGCACAGATGTTAAAAAATATGTTTAGGAGGATCATGGAATGGTGGATGAGCTGCATCCACACTGCAGAAATAATCTGGTTTGACACCACTTTAACTGCTATGGAATTCTGGGAATGATAGTTTGTTGTGGTACCAGAGCTTGCTTGCTTGTTTTCTTTCTTTTTTTCTTTTTGGAATATCTTTTTGAAAAACATCCATGAAGAAAATGCTTTGAGGAAAAATAGGGAAAGGGTTTTTCTCGACCTCCCTGTACTCCCAAATTTTTGCATTTCCTTCTCCAGATTTCCACATCTCTACAGCTTCAGCAACTGATACTCAGAAAACCCCAGGGGTAGGTAATCTGTGGATCTCTATATACCTTGGCTTATAGTTCCTATGACCACCAGACTTTCTAGTTGCAGCATATAAGAGCTGTAGTCCAAAGGATCTGGAGAACTGATGATGTGACTATTAGATGAATACCTAATCTGGTCCAGATTCAAGTAAAAATGCCCTGCATCTTAGCCTGATCCTAATGGTGGCTCTTTTGGCTTGCCTGACCACACCATCTCCCAAAACACTGTCTGTTCTGCAGCTGCTAGTTTTTAATCCTCCAACCACCCCTCCCAATCGAGAAAGGGAAATACATATTTTCAGGAATAGCTAATTGTGGTAGACTTTGTACATTCAATGCAGGAGGCCTACTGCCCTTTACAATCTTAAAAGAGTTTGAAAAGACTGAAGCCTTAGAATTCTGCTGGTCAAAATGAAAGTGGAAACCAGAGTCCCTCCTTGAATACAAGTAATCAGTAGTGAAAGACATTAATACTTTCTCCTAATCGAACCACTAACTTCAGCACCTGGACAGCACAGAGTTAAAGGGAGTTGGGTAGATCTGTATCTCTGAGACTGAAAGAAGGTAGGTTACCCCACAACTCCAAACTTGTTTTTCCCTATTTCCAAACCTGAAACTACTAACAAACCAAAGTGAAGCCATATTACAGTCCTGATAGTTGGGAAACAACCTTGAGCTAAAAGAGATAAAGAATCAGTGGCTGAACAACTGAAGACTGCAGTTTCCAGTATGAAATGTAGCTCTTTTTGATACAGCTGAACAATATGGGCTGACTAAGGGGGGTTGCAGACTGCCAGAAATAGTGCAAATTGAGTCCACTTTTAGGGTTAGAGTTAGTGATAGAGAATCATGGGAATTGTTTTTTCCTCTGAGACATTGAGCCTTCTCTGTCAGAGAGCTCTGGTGCCACAATAAAATACAGTTCCCATGATTCCCTAGCACTAACCCTAACCCTAACAGTGGACTCAATTTGCACTATTTCTGGCAGTCTGCAACCCCCCCTAAGGTAAAGTAAATTGCATGCTCAATTGCTGATTGTTAAAAACTAACACCAAGTAGACACATGCCCCAAATGAAGTCAAGGGAATGTCTGTAATGTACACGTGAATTTTTAGTCATCTGTAATATCACCTTGCAAGCTTATACATTTTGGAATCATATCAATAAAGTTGTTCTTCTTCGCTCTTGGTACAGACTGCCAGGCTGTTCCTGTTCTGGAGGGGAGAGAATCTCCTTGATCAAGGATAACAATCTTTCCAGACAGACTCAGGGTCGAAACTTGCAGTCCATATGCACTCAGGGTGGTTGTGCTGGGGACTAGTATTAGGCTACATGGAGCAATGAGCTGGCTCCATTTAAGAAAGCTTCTTTATGTGAAATCAGAGGATGATGGTTTCCTAATAGCTATTGTTTTTCATCCACAAGGGAGTGGACAAGAATAAATAGGTTTCTGAGTGAAGCAGGTACAGTTCTGTTGCTTTTCTTCGTCCTCATTTCTTTCATGCAGAGGGTTAATTGCATGAAGGACCTATTTCTGGAATCATAAAACTTGCACCATGCAGAAGAGCCAATAAATCAGCCACTGTCCCAGGGGAGGTTAAAGATGGCATTACCTCATTCCCATAATTCCAGGTGTTTGCTGCTGGACAAAATAGAAAAGGAAAATAAAAACAAAATAAAGATTTTTCACCATGCATTGTGGTGTCTTCATAAAAGTATTATAAAATGTGATCCCCTGAAGTGTTGTCCTCCCATATAAACAGAAAACTGATAAGAAGTGAGCCATAAAGCCCATCTATTTATGTTGTAATGGGGATGGCTTTACATTTCATTTAAGTACCATTTGGAGCTAGGTACATGGGATTTTCTTTTTCCTTTTGAAGGAGTAATCATGAAACAGTTAAGTAAGAAGACAGGAAGAAAATCAATCGCTTCAAGATGCTAGAAGTTAATGTATTATTGCTATAAGACTCCTGTGTCTTTAACAGCAGATCAACAGGTATAGACAGCATGGAACTGAAATAAGGAGAGAGCCACCCCTGGTGAATTACTGCTGGCCCTCCAGCTCTCTAGAGCAATTTTGGTACAAGGGAAACAAACAAAAAGTTTACAACTTTACAGAATATTGATTAAAAGGCAAGTCCCTTTGAAATCCATGAGGCTTGCTCCAGAGTAAGCATGCACACAGGATTGTGGTCTCAGATATTTTTTAACAAACCTGTGGCACCACAAGTATAGTATCTAGATCAAGGGAAGTAATAGTGCCAAAACTGGAATACTGTGTCTAGTTTTGGGCACCACAATTCAAAAAGGATGTTGAAAAACTGGAGTGTGTCCAGAGGAGGGTGACTAAAATGGTGAAGGGTCTGGAAACCATGTCCTATGATCAACAACTTAGGGCCTCAGCAGACGGAGGCCCCGGAGCCGCCGCCGAACGG